ACGTATGGTTGCCCTTCGCCTGGGTACATGGACCTCAGAACCATGTAAAATTGCTCCGGGATTACCCCAGGGCTCTGCAATTTAACTAATGCTCCTCAATGTGTATAGAAGCAAGATTGCAGAACTTGAAGCACCAGGTGTTGGAAGGATGTTGACATTTGCTGATGATGTTCTTGCAAAAAGGCAAGAGAGTGATAGACAATGGATTGCTTAAGAACTGCAGGCAACTGTAAACAAAGTGACTGACTGGTGTGAAGAAATTAGTGTTGTTATCAATTCAGAAAAGGCTGCAGAAATCACTATTGGACATGTGTGCAGGCTTGATAAATTTGAGCGAGGAGATGAGTGGGTCATAGTGTCTGAACAAGTTTCATTCTTATGTAGGGTTCTAATCCAGTTAGGTCATGAGTGCAGAGACTGGCTAGCTGGCGCTGCAGAATCAGAAGTTCAACAAATTCTTCTTCTTCTTCTTCTTCTTCTTCTTCTTCGTCTTCTTCTTCTTCTTCTTCTTCTTCTTCTTCTTCTTCTTCTTCTTCTTCTTCTTCTTCTTCTTCTTCTTCTTCTTCTTCTGGCTTTCTATCCCCCAATGGAGCATAGGCCCTCAACCAACTCACGCCAAGTCGTTCTATCCTTCGCCATTGCATGGAGCTCTCCCCATGTCCTCCCAATCTTTCTAACCTCGTTCTCCAGCTCTCTTCTCCATGTGTTTTTTGGCCTTCCTTTATTCCTATGCCCCTGTGGGTTCCAATGCAAAGACATTCTAGTTATGCTGTTCTCCTGTTTTCTCAGTGTGTGCCCTATCCAACGCCAGCGTCTTTTCCTCACTTCCTGATCCACTGGAGCCTGTTTAGTTCTCTCCCGAAGTTCTACATTAGTTATTCTATCATACCATTTTATTCCCTCTATTCTGCGCAGGCACCAGTTAATGAATGTCTGTAATTTATTAGTAATTGCCTTGGTTGTTCTCCATGTTTCCGCTCCTTACAATAGTATTGATTTGACATTAGAATTAAAAATTTTTAGTTTAGTATTTCTTTTAATTTCTTTTGACCTCTACAAATTCCCTAGTGCTATGAAAGCCTCTCTTGCCTTTTGTATTCTTATTTTAATATCTCTATCAGTTCCTTCATCTTTATCTACATTACTGCCTAAATAGGTGTACGACTCCACGTCTTGGAGTGGGGTGCCATTAAGGGGTCACTACACGGCATTTTTCCCAATTTATGACAAAAATATCACTTTTCAATGTGTTCGTTTTTGTAAAGTTCGGCATTCGTAGAATAGATGACACACAAAATTTATGTCATTTGTAAACAATTTAGCATTAGTTAGTTAGTTAGTTAGTCTTTCCTCTTGTGTCGAGTGCGGCACATAGGGCAGAGGTCGTGACTCTCCATGCACGGCGGTCCGTTGCAATCCGTTGTAGGTCTTGGATGTTTGAGTGGCCCATGAGCGAGCCTTCCCTGATGATAGTTCTACGTAGGGTTTCCCTTGGTCTTCCACGAGATCTTTTCCCCTGTGGTGTCCAAATGAGGGCTTGGTAAGGAAGTCTTGATTTATCCATTCTAAGGACGTGGCCGACATAGTTCCAGCGGCGTTTTCGTATAAAATTAGACACATACTCTTGCCTGGATTCTTGCCTTATTTGTGTATTGGTTCGGAAATCTGACCATTTGAAATTTAGTATTCTTCTAAGGCATTTATTTTCAAAACTGTCTAGCATTTAGCATTTAGCATTGAAAACTTAATACTAACGACACCACCTCGTGCACTTATTTTAGATTTTAAAAAAAGTTTAAAAGTCAGTTTTCTCAAACCTCTACATTTCAGTTTGATGTGTGTGTGAAATCCTAAAATCTAAGCTAATATAAAGAGCAGAAACTACTCCATAAATATTATTATAGGGACTGCTCTATCTAAAAGTAGATTTTAGAAAGTTTTTGTTTTCTAAAATTTGATTATTGTCTTATGATGCTCGATTTTTTTTTTTTTTTTTTTTTTTTTACTTTTTCAATAAACCTACAATTTAAAATTCTACGAAAAACATTTAAAAACTTGTTTAAAGTAAATAAACTAGACCTGTACCTCTAAATAGGATGAAACATCTTGGATCCATCATCTATTGTTAAATACCTATGTTTGTTTTTAAAATTTTAGGATTCTAAGTACACATTGTTTTTTTTTTTTTCAGACTTTTTTTTCAACTTAGTAAAGGCAACATATAAAGACATGAAATGTCGAGTTCTTCATGAGGGAAAGCTAACAGATGCATTTGAAATAAAAACAGGTGTGCGACAGGGATGTCTTTTGTCGCCTCTCTAATTTTTACTGGCTATAGACTGGACTATGAAAACAGTAACTGCTAACATCAAGAATGGAATTCAGTGGACCCCTACAAAACAGCTTGATGATCTGGACTTCGCTGATGATATTGCTCTTCTGTCCCATTCACGGAATCAGATGCAAGATAAATTAAATATACTTAATGCGAGATCACAGCAGCTTGGTCTGAGAATCCATAAAGGAAAGACAAAGATAATGAGAATAAATCAGGCAAATAGTAATGTGGTTTCTCTGGCATAATTTTTGTAGTAGTTTGGCTTGAAATGACGTGTGTTTTTCTTTTATCTGGCAACCCTGGTGTGTACACAAGTCGTTGGGCAGGAAAAGGGAATACGTGTACCAGGAAAACCCTTTTCATTTTGTTGGTTGTTCTTGTCTCATCTTTCCATCTGTAAGTAATGGTGTTATAACGGAGGTAACATATTATATAATATTCTTTACACCCCTCACATTTTGTTTACGGTTGTTAGAATATTATCGGATAGTATATTATTATTAATATTTTAAATATTATTTAATTATTCTTGAAACGCCAACAAACTTCTTGAAGAAGTAGAGAGAAGTAGTCGAAGCATTTACTCATTTACAGCTCGATCTTGGGGCAGAACAGTTCAAGAGAAGCCAGCGGTGCCTTCTCCCTCCATGACTACCAACCAGCAGCATGACGAGAGAGGCGATGACGGTGACACAAGCTTTCACGTGGCTAGAATCGCAGGACGACCGCAGACAGTGGATTGACTTGAGTCATTGCAAAACTCTCCGGTGTCACACCCCAGGGATACGATGATACAGCTCTTGGCAGTGAAAAAGCCGATAGACTTGCAGGTGCCTCATTAATTGTAGATGGCCAGCCCTGGGGAAAAAGCTGATAGACCATGTGAAGCTGATGGGGAATCTGAGCACCAATGAATGTCTCTGGAATGCTGTGAAGATGATCCTCATAACTCAAGAGAAGTCGTTTTGTTAGCCTAGTCGATGGGTGGCTCAGGCAGTTATTCTATTATTGGGGTTATAAGCTAAGATATTATAATGTTTGTGTAAAAAGTAAAGTTATATAAATAGTAGTATTATTTACTATCATGTGCTCATTTACAGCCTAAATACCTACAGAAATCATGGTCCTGGGGTTTCTTGTAAAATTCATAAAATGTCTTGTCTCCTCTTGTAGGTGATCATATCAGAATATCTGATCATTGATTGATGTGAGTGTGTTTGTGTATGTAATAGTTATGTGTTATCATTATTGATTAATATTATTCTAGAACTAATTGCTTCCCAGTCTGTTAGTGCTTTCTATGCCTCCTTAGACAGCATAGTGGCCATCCCTGCATTTTGAGAATAGTAGTATACAAGTATATATCACTGAGGTTAGTTCCATGTCTTTCTCCACATGGCTAGCCAGCTGCTGAAAGCTATTTACTTTTGCACAAAACATGAATTCCATGGCTCCTGTGTCAGTCTTCAGGAGGGAAAAGGGGGGGGGGGGGGGGGTTAAACACTCTTTTTGGCTATCCTCTGAATAACGGTCCCAAATTATCGAGGCCGAAAATATACCCTAACAGGGCCTCAGTCACATGTAAATTGCAGACTTCTGGTGACTACCGCCAACGCCGAGAGTATCTCCTGTGCCGCTACACGCAGGGCTAAACTAGAGGCTGGGACTCAACGAGCAGCAGCTACCGCATCTCCTGCTGCTTCCTTTATTTTATTTACTCATGAGTCTCAGCCATATAGTTGAGCCACACACAGCAGCACCGGCGATACTCTTGGCGGTGGCGGAAGTCTGTAATTTACATGTGACTGAGACCCTGTTAGGGTAAATTTTCGACCTCGATGATTTGGGACTATTATTTGGAGGATAGCCCTCTTTTTTTTACTTTACTGCTACATTCAAGTTTGACTTTTCTTCCTTTTGACATTACTTCTGTCTTTTCAGTGTTGATTCTCATGTTATTTGTTGTATATTCTTTATTCATGGATGCAAGATTCTGTTGCCATTTCATGGCTCTATCTGCTTTCGAGGCCTAATAGTCTAAAGGGAGTAATTTATTTATGTTACTATTATTTTCATCATTGGGCTTGGCATCCTTGCACACACTGTCACTGTAGGTGATAAACAGCAGTGATGATATAAAGACATTCTTTTCATAGTCCACACATTACTGTGAATGGGTTGTTTCCTGATTGATTCTAACTACACTTCTAAAATTAAAATTGCTATACAAACTTTTGCACACTCTGGTGAGATGTTAACTTATTCCATGCTTGTTGATGCATACTGATTGGAATAACCTGGCACTTCTGGCAATTGAAATCCTGACATAGAATTATTGTTTTGGAACAGTGTAATTTGTAAACACGTAACATGGTTGGTGGGGAAGGGTGGGGGGTTGAGAAAGACATTTCTGTCCAGTCTTTTATCATTGTTAAATACATAATAATGGATGATCAGGTATTTACAAATGACCATTCAGTGACTTTTTAGTTGCCATTAAAATTAAAATACCTGAAAAGTGTGTACGAAGGCAAACAGTGCTGAACACTCTTTATAGGTATCATCTTCTCTGTTACACTAAATTGTCTTCAGAATGTATTTCAATGAGGAGGACTTTCTATTTTTACTCATTTTAGCTTTCTGTGTCCACAGCCCTCTAAATATGTCACAACCAAAACGTGATGCTAAAGAAACTATTCTCCTGAGACAGGCTGCTCCGAAGTACAACTTTAGTGGTCGTAAACTGCCTAAAGAATCCACCAAAATAACTGGTTTGGAAAAAACTGATTTCATTGCTGCCTCATCAGATACTTCTGTTGCCCAGTTGCCTGTGAAAACTGACAGCACAAAGGCAAAACCTATTGCCATAGTTGGGGCATCAGTGCAGCCAGCAGCAGCCACCACTGTGGGGAATGTCAAGACAAGCACATCACCATTAGAATTGATAACAGCTTTACCAACTGTGAGTACTGTCACTCAGTATTGTTCCAGAAGTCATTCTTCCAGAAGTGACAGTCAGAATATCTCAACTGAAAGAATATCTCCTAATATTCCAGTTAATTCAACAGATAGTGCTCTTTTACGGGAAAATTTATCAGCCATTGATCTTCAGCGGTCATCAGTTAATGCATGTGCAACTCTTAGTGAAAGAGGCCTGCCCGCAACAGTCCCATTCACAGCTGTGCAGAGAGACTCTCATTATAGTGTCACAGACAAAAGTACATGTGAATCACATTGTCAACATTTAGAAAATGAACGTGATCAGCTTAAGAAAGAATTGGAAGTTCAGCTACAGGTTAACTCAGAGCTGAAACGTCTCCTGATAGCCTCAGTTGGAGATGACTTGAGTCAACGAGTTGAAAGACTGTGCAGGTAAATCTCAATTAAGAACAAGCTCTGTATGTATAGTTATTAAAATTTGTTGCTTTAGTAAAACCAGCAGTCGTATAAAGTTATTCTGACCAGTTTTAAATTGACAAATAGCAGTTGACATGTCTGTATTAACTGTTGTACTAGTAACATTTCCGCTTCATATTTGCATTTTAGAAAGTTGTACTAATTATTCAGATATTTACTATTCTTTACAGATTTTAACTAGCTGTAAGTCATGTAGACATAGATTTTCTTCTTTTTTAAACAGATCACCCCCCCCCCTTTCACCCCCCCCCCCCCCCCCCTTTCCCCCTTTCCATGATACCCTAAATTAGCATGCCATGGTAACTGACAAAGCTACTGCAGGGTAAAACAGATACAAAGGATGTGATCACTCATTTATAGTTGTACAGTTGGTGATCACTACTCCTCTTAAAAGACAGTGAAACCAGCGTAAAGTTTTGTTTGGTGTCACAAACATAAAAACTTGATAAATTATTGCAGATCTGAGGTCACAAACAGTAAAGTTTATCAGCTGTCGTAGATTTATTTGTGGTCACAGTCTATGCAAATGATAAATCTTCGCAAGGTCACAAACAAATTTATCAGTTGTTGTGGATTTGATCTGAGGTCAGAAGTCTGTCAGTTTGTGCAGATTTGATCTGAGGTCAAAAGTCTGTCAGTCAGTTTGTGCAGATTTGATCTGAGAGCACTCTGTTCAATTGTTTTGTGATTTTGTTGAAGCATTTGTTAATGTTTTATACCCAGGTTTAGGATGACAGAGTTCACATGCACAAAATAATATTTCCCCAGGGATCGTGCACAACTTTCCCTAGATCTTGGTGGCTTCAACAAAAAGATGTCAGAAGAGTATGAGAATCTCGATAAAGTGTCTATTCAAGCTGACATGTGGCGAAGCAAGTATTTAGCTTCTCGGTAAGTAACGCCACCCGAAAAGCTGGTGCTTACATTTTCAAGAGCCTGTTGCAGAATAAATTAGTGTTCTTAACACATAATGTCTGGTAACCATTTTGTCCCAGGAACACGAAAAAAATTGGCCATGACACCGTTGAAATTCCAGAATAAAATCAGTAGAACAATTTCACACAGCTCACTAATAAAATAGTTAAAACATTTTTTTGGGCCATTTTTTTTAAATTCTCAAAATATTAAAAGCTGTAAGAAGGAAAAAAAAAGTAAACATGAAATAGTATGCAGTTCCCAAGGCCTAAAAAACTAAATGTGTCAGGTAATTTTTTTTTTTAATGTACTCAAAGGGAACCCTAGAAAAAAATATAAATTTTGGTAATGTATTCATGTCCTGATCTCTGAAATGTTTGCTCGAGCATGAAAACAGAAAAGTGACTTTTACGGGCAACTGAACTCAAAGGGTTGAGGAACCAACAAGTAACCAAGGAATGTGGCCATCACTTGACACTCCCAGTAAAAGCAAGATGACAATTTATTCAGACTGCTACTGGCACCATTGGTGTTAGAATTCTGCGTTGGCTGCTGAAGATGGGGACGAAGCTCTTATAAGAATGCCCGGAAGTGCAGTGATGTTGGTTCTTTAATCAACTCAACAATGGTAAAGTCTGATTTGGATTCAAAATGTGTAAAGCACATCAGGCATGTATGGCAATACTTATGTTTGTATAAACCACTGGGTACTTGACGGGCCACGCTGGCTTCTTTTCCTTCCCAAGAGATTTCCTGGTACCCATTTTCGGTTGGGTCAGCCTGGGACTCATGGTCATTTTATAAAAATCTACTACAGTGTAGAAAGTAGCACAAGGTCCCAGGCATGTTTGAAGTGACTGTACTACCGTGGCTTCTGGTTTGGTTCACACAAAAAAACTTTAATTACCATGGATACATCAGTAAGTGCTATAGACCCCTCCTGTTTATAAAAAAAGTGAGAGTTCAGCATAGTGTACCAACTTCACAGCATTGACAGGCAGCCATGTGTGGAAGATGGATCAGTCTCACGTGCTTTTTTGTGTGTGTGTGGGTGGGTGGGTTTACTCAGTTTTAAATTTAGCCCTATATGGCAGCCTGTTCCACGTTCTGTTTGTGACTTCCTACTTCCAAATGATGTTTAGAATGCTTGTGGGTAGGAATATTATGCTCTGAAGTATTCCTTTAGGTAAATAGTATGAATCTTCAGATGCAGGATTTGCAACATACTTGATTTGAAAGACCAGAACACTGAGCCACAATAGCACGTTGGGTGATTCTAGGTTCAAAGCAACAAATATTAAAAGTCAGTCTATTATCATAGCATAATTTCATTGAGTAGAAATGCAGTTGACCACGCTACTACCATATTGTAAATCTCTCCTAATTAGTTGCCTTGTACGACGTGCTTGTTAGGAAGACATTGTGTCTATTCTTTTGTCTCAGGGAACCCGCAGGGATACCATAATGTGATGCTGACCAATCACCCCCAAATATAGGTCTAGCCCAATATGCCCAGTGGGTCTGAAGGCGTGGAAAAGGCCCCTTTTAACATGTAAAATGCAGAAAGAGGAAATTATAATTGTAACTATAACAAAAATTTGTGACAAAAGTCCTAATTCTGACAGCAGCTAAACAGAATTATAATAAGGAAGAACAATTGACCAGAATGCAGCATTACAAGTAAACAGGACTAAAGTAAACTAAAGTTTTCAAGTGTTTGATAACGGGAGATAGTAGAGGGATCTCTTGACCTAGTTTAGTAGCAAAAGCAGCATTTTACAGGATGATGAAGAATATTGTTTGCACAATTTTTTTTATCATTTGATAAATGAAAAATTATGGCTGTTTCGTGTCCTAGTTTATGAAATATAAAACTGATGACACAGGTAGTGGCCCAGTGCTGACCCCAGGGTACCTAATCCACTGATTGTATAAGTTCACATAGTAATATTCTTCTATATTTAATCTTGTTTCAGATTAGGGTTAGGATTAGAGTTAGGGCTAACCCAAGCACTAACTCAAACCCTTACCCTAACCAAAATGTGAAGCAATATTAAGTATTACAGAACATTATCATATGAACATACACAAACAAGGAATTGTCTCCCTTATGATTGCCATAAACCGCAATTGATTGTGTCCTCCTAAGGTCGTCATTGCGAGGAGTGCAATTTTTTCTTTTAAAAATCTACCTAGTTTAGAAAAGATTTCAGTGACCATGACCATTTTTAGCACTAGCTTTGAGCTTGACTGGCAAACTATTCCCATTTCAGTGTTATGATTGAGGAACTGGGCAATGCCAGAGCTTTCTATGCTCTTCAGTGTCATGACACACAAGATGCATTGCAGAAGATGTTGAATGAAAGACATGAGCTGCGAACTAATTTGCTGGAGGTGCACAGGTATGCTACCATTGATGATTAATGCAGTCTCAGTTTGAACTATTTTTGTTGTATTTGAGGAGTTCCTTTCTGGGGTATTGTTTACACTGACTGCATTCTGTATATGTGTCTAGTCCATGTGTAAGAAGTCTGGTTGCTTCTGTGTAAAAAGTCCAGTATATTTGTCTAGCCCATGTGTAAGAAGTCTGGTTGCTTCTGTGTAAAAAGTCCAGTATATTTGTCTAGCCCATGTGTAAGAAGTCTGGTTGCTTCTGTGTAAAAAGTCCAGTATATTTGTCTAGCCCATGTGTAAGAAGTCTGGTTGCTTCTGTGTAAAAAGTCCAGCATATTTGTCTGGCCCATGTGTAAGAAGTCTGGTTGCTTCTGTGTAAAAAGTCCAGTATATGTGTCTGGCCCATGTGTAAGAAGTCTGGTTGCTTCTGTGTAAAAAGTCCAGTATATTTGTCTGGCCCATATGTAAGAAGTCTGGTTGCTTCTGTGTAAAAAGTCCAGTATATTTGTCTGGCCCATATGTAAGAAGTCTGGTTGCTTCTGTGTAAAAAGTCCAGTATATGTGTCTGGCCCATGTGTAAGAAGTCTGGTTGCTTCTGTGTAAAAAGTCCAGTATATGTGTCTGGCCCATGTGTAAGAAGTCTGGTTGCTTCTGTGTAAGAAGTCTGGTTGCTTCAGTGTAAAAAGTCCAGTATATTTGTCTGGCCCATATGTAAGAAGTCTGGTTGCTTCTGTGTAAAAAGTCCAGTATATGTGTCTGGTCCATGTGTAAGAAGTCAAGTATATTTGTCTGGTCCATATGTAAGAAGTCTGATTGCTTCTGTGTAAAAAGTCCAGTATATGTGTCTGGTCCATGTGTAAGAAGTCTGGTCCATGTGTAAGAAGTCTGGTCCATGTGTAAGAAGTCCAGTATATTTGTCTGGTCCATGTGTAAGAAGTCTGATTGCTTCTGTGTAAAAAGTCCAGTATATGTGTCTGGTCCATGTGTAAGAAGTCTGGTCCATGTGTAAGAAGTCTGGTCCATGTGTAAGAAGTCCAGTATATTTGTCTGGTCCATGTGTAAGAAGTCTGGTCCATGTGTAAGAAGTCTGGTCCATGTGTAAGAAGTCTGGTCCATGTGTAAGAAGTCCAGTATATTTGTCTGGTCCATGTGTAAGAAGTCTGGTCCATGTGTAAGAAGTCCAGTATATTTGTCTGGTCCATGTGTAAGAAGTCTGGTCCATGTGTAAGAAGTCCAGTATATTTGTCTGGTCCATGTGTAAGAAGTCTGGTCCATGTGTAAGAAGTCCATTATATTTGTCTGGCCTGTAACCAAAGCTGCTACTTGCTGGGAGTTCCAGAAAAATTTGACTAAAATGCGCAACAAATTGGGGAAGCAGTAAAATGTGAACAAAACAACACGTAACATTTCGACCGGGTGGCCTTTTTCAAACACAAGTGGACTACACAAACGAGGAGAGGAGAGTATGTAGATCTCTAAGGAGTGACGTGAGCAACGTTTAAAAAATGCAATGTAAAATAAAATAAAATAAACTATGGCTAAAACATATAGCCACAAAAAATAATAAACAGTAGTATTGATAATATATAATATAATACTGGGAATAAAAGAAATACAAATGTTAATGATACATAAATGATACTGATAAGAAATAGAATAAAGTAATAATATGAAATAAAAGAAAATAATTAACATTTAAAATGTGATAGGAGTAGAACTATTTAGATAAAGGTATGTTGGATATTAATACCACCTGGACTAAGAACGCATAAGATGAGGCGACTTTCCAATGCGAGGCGTGTAGTATGATCGCCAGAGCAAGATTTTAATGCTGTGACAGAAATATCATCTTTACCTCTGTGGTCAGAGCTATTAAAATGGAGAGGGATTGGTTTAAGTGTCTTCTTGTCAATATGTTTAGCCATCGTTTATTTTATTTTATTTCACTTATTCGACATCACATTTTTTAAACGTTGCTCACGTCACCCTTAGAGATCTACATACTCTGTGTAGTCCACTTGTGTTTGAAAAAGGCCGCCTGGTCGAAACGTTGTGTTGTTTTGTTCATGTTTTACTGCTTCCCCATTTTGTTGAGCTTTTTAGTCAAATTTTTTCTGGAATTCCTTGTATAAGCTTAACTGCAGTCACCCCCATATTTTCACCATACTTGCTGGGAGCTGCCTTGGTGTGCAGCCTACATGTAACCAAAGCTGCTACTTGCTGGGAGCTGTCTTGGTGTGCAGCCTACATATAACCAAAGCTGCTACTTGATGGGAGCTGTCTTGGTGTGCAGCCTACATGTAACCAAAGCTGCTACTTGCTGGGAGCTGCCTTGGTGTGCAGCCTACATGTAACCAAAGCTGCTACTTGCTGGGAGCTGTCTTGGTGTGTGGCCTTCATGTAACCAAAGCTGCTACTTGCTGGGAGCTGCCTTGGTGTGGGGCCTACATGTAACCAAAGCTGCTACTTGCTGGGAGCTGTCTTGGTGTGCAGCCTACATGTAACCAAAGCTGCTACTTGCTGGGAGCTGCCTTGGTGTGGGGCCTACATGTAACCAAAGCTGCTACTTGCTGGGAGTTGTCTTGGTGTGGGCCCTACACGCTTGCCTGCCAATCTGCAGGTGGTGGGTTCAGATCCTGACAGAGCAAGTCTTTTTTTAAAAATGGCTTTGGCTCCCACTTTGCCCCAGCCCTAAATACGTACCTTGTCAAGTCCTGGAACGTAAAAGGTGGATGGCATGATGGTGACCACATCAGCCACTGAGTATGGTTGGTCTATAAAATATAGGTCTAGCCCTATATTCTCAGTACACCTGAAGGCGAAGAAAGGGAAACTTTAATTTACTGTTACTTGCTAACCTTGCAACTAGAATCTGGCATTAGAGTACAATGGCCTGCTTGCATGTACACTAGGTAGAAGTTTAAGAGTTCTTTCTATGGCTAAACGTGTGAAGGGCACTCAAAGTGTAATGTCATTAGTATTTCACTGTTACTGTAGTGATACTTTCAACTCATTAAAAAATATAGTGTGAAATTTTATCAAACAAATTTTTTTTTTTTTTTGGTTGCTCTGCAACTCTGGTAATAGGGAATGCTTGCAAAATATGACAATTTTACAGAGCTAACCCTAGCTGTGAAATTATTTGCTTATTGAAATTTGTTACGAAATTGGCGATTTTTGCACCTTGGCAGCGTCATTTGCACAAGGAGATAACTATGTATTATATACTTGTAACCATAATTATGTCCCCTGCATTGTTTGGTGGACTTTAGAATTGTGGAATTTCAGGTTTATCATTCACGGCCGGATAATTGACCCATATACAAACTTGGAAGCTTGTGTATATGGGTGTAAACACGACCTCATTCATTACGGGTGATTTCCGCTGTCTGAAACTGATCACATGAGTATCCGATTCTCAAAAATGGCCGCTGTGATTGATTGTTTACACAGAGACAACAAGACCGCAGTGAATCCAAAAATGCCACATTCCAAGAAATGTAATCTCCACTTAGCCAATCAACGCAAGAAATCTTGAAGTTTACAATTGGCAAATGCTCGTAAGCAATGAAAGGTCCACCTCAGTGTCATTACCATTACAGAATATTTGGAATGCGATACATATAACATGCTTCTTCTTAGCATCGCTTGAATTTTGTCAGTCAGTGATTCAGTACCATCATGTTCTAGTTTTTATCAAAGTTGTGGAAGTGACACTGTTCTTGCAAAAAAAAAAACCTGAAGCCAGTTTAAGAGATGTATATAAATATCTGACCTCTAGCAGTATGTTTGTTTCTGTTGATGATAGTGGACATAAAACAAATGAAGAACAGAGGAATAGTTGATTTTTCCAAGATTGGCTAAATCATAAAAATGTTGTGTTGTCCACTGTGTAAAAATACTGGTCTTATTTTGAAAACTGACAGAAAGAAAACTCAAGGATTAGATGTGCATGCAGAAGTTTACTGCTGCTGTTGTGAAGTAGTAGTTTGTGGAGGGTTCAAGAAGTCATGACGGGGATAGATCGTTTGCCTTCAGCAACCAGCCTGTTTATTCTTCATTAGTTTGTGGAATGGGGGCCAAAACATTCAATAATGTTTGTGAACATATGAACCTGCAAGGTGTTCATCACAAAACATTTCACAAGAAAGCCAGTAAATTAAATTCAGTTAGGAGATCTGGAGGACATGGTTCTCTCTCATACCATGAAGTATGTTTGGCAAGTCTGGGGGCAACAGTCAGGCATCACTCTATATGACAATGATGTGCTGGATATTACTGTCGGCTTTGATGGCAATTGGCTGACGAGAGGCCTCACATCCTACATTGGGGTTGGGTGTCCTTACGGGACTTTGCATAGATGTGCATGCTATATCCACATATTGTCAGGTGTGTGAAACTACTGGTAAGAGAGTTTCAAAATCTAAAGCATTTGAATTTGAAGCATGGAAGGCAGACCATCTTCTAAACTGTGATAATAATTTCACAGGATCTGCAGGAATGATGGAGATGGAGGCTGCACGAGACCTGTGGCCCATCCTAAGCTTTGTTATACATCAATACTTTCTAATGGTGATGCCAAGACATAGGCAGCGCTTACCAAGATCAAACCTTTTGGGAAGGACACTCAATAGACAAAGAGGAATGTATCAACCATGTCAATAAACACCTTGAAACAGCACTCCATAATGTTGTTGCTGACTGCCGGAAGCAAGGTGTTACCTTAGGTGGATGTGGTAAAGGTCAGCCTACACAAAATGCTGTTCGTAAGCTGACAGTTTATTACAACAGAGCGTTAGACTCTACAAGTGTAGAGTCCATGAGGAACAGTGTTATGGCTTCACTGCATCACTTTTTTCAACAGACAAAACTCAACACCATGAAATGTGCCCAAGTGGAGAGCAGTCTTAGTGTTGTTGTTTTTTTCAGTCCGTCCTGGCTAAGCACCAGTCCCTGGGTCCTCGTGACAAGATGTTACACACATGGCTAAACTGTAACAAGCTACAGAAATATCTTTTGCCAATTTATGAAATGCTGTCTGACCCTAAACTGCTTAGTAGATGTGTTTCAGGAAAAACTCATAATTCAAATGAGTGCTTACACAGCCTGATATGGGCTCGCTGTACTAAAGATGAGTTTGCCTCATGCAAGCACGTTGAGTTTGCAGTTTAACTGCAGCAAGTGAATTCAGCCTTGGTTTTAGACCTATCCAAAGAAATCGAATATGGCCATTGTTTATCTTGGTTTCCATAGCAGCCATTGAGTGCACTGTCAGTTTGACAGTATTTGATTAATCTGAGGTCTTTAACATAAAATCCGATACCATACCAAAATGTAGAAGTTGATAGTGTACAATTTAGTTTTAAAAGGTTAGCATCACCTCAAGTCGGCTTTTTTTACTTTGCTTTTCTTGTTATTCATTGTATTTCTATTCTACATCTTTATCAAAGTTGCCCCAGTTTATTTCAGTAATTTCATTTATTGTTACCAGGATTCTGCAGCAGATGAAGAGTGCGTTTGATCCTCTGAATGCTCAGCGCTCCTCAACTCTACAGTCAACCAATGTCCTTGATTTGTCCAGATCTTGCCAGCAGCTTGCAGAGGCCATGAGATTTAGATTACTGCCGGCACACGTGGCTGTGAAGATTGACATGGAGACCGATGAAACTTCGTGGGCCGAGTCTGTTACACGGGCAGAACAGTTTGCCCATGAGGTGAGTTGACTTATCTTAGCTGATTCAGCAGTTCTCTTGCTGTACATTGACTTATATTTTGCAGAGATGAATTTATGTTCAGCGTTCAAACGGAGAGTTTTAATTCTGATGGCACCAGTAACAGTCTGATTGTCCTGCCTTTTCCTTGAGTGTTGAGCATCGACCAGATCCTCTGGCAACTCCTTGCAGCACCATTCTCCTCAGACCGTATTGATCTATTTTGTGCTTCCGCACAACATCTGGCTTGTCATACTTCAGTTCACCACTGAGTGGTGCAGAACCGGCCAGTCTATCTGCCTGCCCATTTCCCAACACACTGGCAAGACCTGAAGAGAATATCCAAAGGATGCTAACTACCCAGGACCTCTGAAGTGATGCTTGTCACTCTGCATGGATCAAACCTGTCTGCACCTTCTGAACATGCTCTGTGAGTTCACTTACAATCATGGCATGTGTTTACAAATATCAAATGCCAGGCTTTGTTGCATTAAGGGACATCCATTTGCTTTTGCAATGAACCCCCATGCACTTCTTCTGCCTCTCAACACAGAGTCATCTGTATAGATAATCACATTACTTGGCCGGGAATAGTCATGAATCATTTGTTGAACTTCTGATTCTGCAGCGCCAGCTGGCCAGTCCCTGCACTCATGACCCAAAGTGATAAGAACCCTACACAAATCTAAAACCTAATCAGACACTTTGACCCAATCGTCACCTGGCACAAATTTATCAAGACTGCACACAGGTCTGATTGCGTCTTCAGCTTACGCCATCCAAGACCTTCCTCTTTTCAGTCTAGGACCCTAATAGTTAATCACTTTGTCTACAGTTACCTGTAGCCCTTGGGCTATCTGTTGCTTAGACGTTACGAGTCTGGCTCGTACAGAGATCAAAACTCACTGCTGGCTGCATGGGTTTTTATCATGGTACGGGACGTTGCAGGTCGACCTAGCCTAAAATGGGTACCAGGATGGCTGTCCTGGGGAAGTAAAGATGGCCGGCGTAATGCTGACCACATTACCCACCTAGTGCCGATTGGTCTGTAAAAATATGGGGTGCTCTTCCCATATGCCCAATGCGCCTAAGGTGTGAAAAAAGGGCATCTATGTGCAAGAACATCATCAGCAAATGTCAATATCCTAACACCTGGTGCTTCAAGTTCTGCAGTCTTGCCTGTATACATATTGAAGAGCAATGATGAAATTGCAGAAACCTGGGTAGTCACAGGACGATATTACATGGTTCTGAGGTCCATGTACCCAGGCGAAGAGCTGCCATAAATGAATGCAGGACAGCTGCTATCCAGTTCACAAGCCAGGGTCAAACCCCCTTTTCCATAAGTGCAGATAGCAGACTATCTTATCTGACTCTGTTGTAGGCATCCTCAAGATCAAGTGCTGCCACAACTGTCCTGTCTGTTCTGGAAGCCCTCATAAACATCAAAAGCAATAGTAACTAAATTTGACCAGGTATCTTTTAGTGACCGGTAACTACCCAAACCCTTATGGCAGGAGCTCTTCCCTTTCCAAAAACATATTTAGTTTAACAGCAATAATCTTCTTAGCACCTTGCCAAAAGTATTTTATAGGGTGATAATCCTGACACTGCTGAGTTTGGAATGATCTTTGCCTGGTTTTGGAAGTGGGATTAGGTAACTGTGTTCCTATTCCTGGAGTACTGAAGAGTACTGAAATGAAAAGCCATCTCCCTCAAGTCTTCATAACTCATGCTTTTCATATGGGCATACCTGACTTCGTCTGGCCCCGGCGCAGTGTCTTTTGTTTTTTGCAATATGTATTGTATATCCTCCACCCTAATGTTATCCTGAAAATAGTTATCGTTTATAGTATTGGACAGATTAACTTTAACTGAATTTCTAAGCTGCCTATCATTATGATCAGTTTGGTATATAAATCTCTCCAAAAAATGCTTCTTCTTTCTCTTGTCTGTTGTCATTGGCAGATGATATTGTTCTGAACAGCGGTGACATGACGACATCAAAAGTTGGACTACAGATAAGTTTTTAAAAGACAAACGTAATGAAGTCTAATAACTGATCAAGCACATGTAACGCTGAAAAACAAAGCTAATTAAATTTACGGATCAGTTTACTTATTTAGGTAGTGATATTGTTAGTCTAGGAACGAGGCAAGAAATTATGAGACACATTGGCATGAGCAGCTAAACGCTTGACCAAAAAATTGTATAGTTTTAGAGCCAAGTGAACTATTTTCAATTTTAGTGTTATTTCAGGTTAAACACATGTGATTGAAAGTTGGAGAACCTCTAGTCATATGGAATGAAAGTTAAATGCATTCACAATAGTGGAAGTGATGAACATAAAATGGGATGCATTCAAGAAGGGTGAAGAAATAAGAGAAATGTCTGGCCGACCACTAGAATCAACAGTTATAAGACAGAGAAGATGATGTTTTATTGGACACATTCTGAGAAGAGACGAACAGAGAAGCACCACACTGGCACTGAAACAGGAAATAGAGGAAACGAGGACATGCAAGAGAAACCGAACATTGATGAGAGAGGTCAAAGGTGCTGGACTGGATTTCTCCATGATATTGAAGTGATTGATTGCACAGGATGGAACAACATGGAGGAATAGACTGGGAGGCCTGTGTGACATGTAAAAACACAACAGGACAATGAGTCAATGAATAGTTCAGTTATTCTCCACCAGCAGAAATCAGTATTCAATATTTTTTTTATCTATTTTTTTTTTTTTTGCCTAGCCTTTAAAAAAAAAAGTTTCCTTAGTTATTTTTTACACTGTCTTTCTTACCTGATTTCTTTCCTTTTTGTCTTGTTTATTTCCATCCATTTTATATTTTGATCAGGCATGTGGAATTATCCGTGACTGTGACATTCACTGTTTTTTTTTTTTTCTTAAAGACTAGTTGAACTATTTACTAGTATCTGCATGCCTTTGAACTGCCTAGTTATATTTTTTATTTGCTGATTTTCAGATAATATTAGGAAATGTAAGTAGTATTATTTGTTGCCTATATTTATGTCTCCTTTAAAAATTATTTTTTACATAATAAATAATTGTGTTGTTTCGTTCGTCCAGTGTTTTTTTAATATCGTTGCTTACTGTACATTATCTTAGGTCCTCCATTTCACAAATACTGCTCATTGTTTCAAAGCCTTTCTGGCACAGACAGCTCGTTCATTATTTTAACTCATTTTAAACAGTGGCAAATGGTGGGCATTAGCAACATCAGATTTACTGAACAGTAAGAGGATATCTGTATGGTTATGCTAGCCCATGGCTACGGACCTGCATCAGACTCCTTGCTGAGGATGTGTACTTGTGACTGTACAGGCTTCATCTCCCCTCAAGTGGAGTATGTGGATCAGAGTGAAGTGCTAATTGTCTAATGGGAGGCAACAAGTAAATGTAGGCTTTTTGCTAGCTAGGTAACAGTCACCCTCTCATGTAACAATACCACATACTAGAAAGACTTAAACAGGCCAGCAGTATATGGTTGTTTTACAAGTCTACACAACGGACACTTGTTCATTTTACTTCACTCATTCTATCAACATATGTTCTCAGACATGGTTTCACCGTCCCTAACATTGTTCCACAAGTCATAACCTTGATTACTTAAAATGTTTTGCAGGTTCTGTCACGGCCAGCTGAACCGCCAGGATGTTTGCAGTCCGGTTCTGCCAAACTGCTGCCAGTAAAAGCGACTGCTGACCTGCAGATCTGTCGGTTTCACCCCAATACTCGTCATGATAATCTGACTTACAATTGTTGTGCTCATTGTAAAGGGGAGATTAATGTTATCTGAAATTGTTAATCTTCTGGATCATTTACATGTAGATAGACATGTACACATTTCATTAATGTTTCATCTTGTATGCTGCTGCTTCACTGACATTCAAATCATGCTTCTGAAAATTCAAAATGAGTGAAGATGTGTGGTTGACAGCCAATGCAGTAGTGACATGGCTTTCTAATACTTTATTTTAAAAGAAAAATCTCATGACTCCGAGTCCTGACTTAGCAAGTAAAAATGGGAAGTTCTGGCGTAAATAGTTGTGACGTATTGAAACCTGTGTGGATGTATAGTCCAAGTGATACCTGGGTGCTTGAAAACGATGATCTGAAATGCTAACCCTACAGAAGCAAAACAGATGAATAAATGCAGGGCATGAGAACTAAAGAATGATATGTGAGCTGTGCATTAGTGAAGGTCTCCGCATATTTCCCATGCACTGCACCTGCCTTCCTTTAGGAAGCATATGTCCTTCGTGTCCATATATAGGAGTGAGGGCACCACCCTCAAAGTATAATTTTAGACACCGCTGAAAGACATAAATGTAACAGCTTTTCTCTCATAAAAAACACTATCTGCATACCTCACCACGCAAACTGAAGTAAAAATGAACTAGCAGGTCATCTACAGTTGGGTTCTTCTTTTTAATCTGTCTTTTCAGTGGGAGTTGTCAAATTAGCTGTTATTGTTTTACTGTTAGATTCAGATGTTCTGAAAGAAGTTAGACCAAAACACATTAGTGTAAAAATGTAAAGAATATATATATGCTACATGTTTAGTTGTGCTCACATGACATTTATGTGAAGTGCAGTTGCCTTGTTTGTAAATAAACTTTGTGAAATGCCTTCAGCTAATTTGCAGTTTATGCATCGTAACATTGGTTTATTTAGTGCAGTAAGTTTCTGCTGATAATTCTGGTTTGTGTTGATATGTGAATCTCAGGATTTATTTGCCACTAATTATCATATTGTGTTGAAGTATGCACAAATCAACAAAGCATGGCTGTTTGGTGTTTCATTTCATTCAATAATCACATGAACTAGTGTCTGTATCTGGATACATTTTACATGCAATCATTGTTCATCAATCATCATCATAATTCCCTTCTGCCATTTAACTTTGTGGGTGGGAAGGAATAATTTGTGATCCAGTGCACGCTGGCTTCCACTGGCTCTTGTCACGCCCTGAAGGCGTAGAGTGTCTTTAATGTTGTTGATCTGTGATTTCCATGGCTGTCCTATTGCTCTTGTAGCTGATCTTCTGAGATGTAGGGCTTGTGATGGTATTTGATCTTGCTGCATTCTAACGAGGTGGCCAAACCACTTGATCTGCTGTTTCTCAATGAATCTAGTGCAAGGTGTCGTTCCCACAATTTGTCTGATAGTATCATTGTCACTTGATCTCGGATGGTTAAGTTGCCTGCTTTTCTCGGGCATCTTATCTCGCAGGTTAGTGATTTTGCATATCTGGGCTTTAGATAGTGTCCACGTTTGGCACTGGTAGCTTAATGTTGGAATGAATATGCTGTTTATAATCTGTCTCTTTGCACTCATAGTTATGCTTGGATGTCTTTTTTTACTTATTTATCGGATGTTATTACTGTACCTAAATACCTAATGAAAATGTATCGGATATTGATGTGCCAGAATATTTTCCACACAAATGTCTATTAGCATTAACATCTACAGGCTAGCACCTAGGGTAAATGACAGTTGTATGGTTGAATACATTTCTAATCTGTTTTTCCATTCCAAACTGTTTGCCATCTGGTTACAGAAACACTACAGCCGCATCAAATGACAAAATATTTAAACTATATGAGATAAACTTATTTCTTTTTAACTTTTATTCATTTTTTTCTTTTGCGAAATTCAGTTTTTTTTTTTTTTTTATTTCCTAATATTGCATGAGAAGTTGTTTGTATCCATCCATTGCTGGTTTTTTTTTTTTTTAAATAAATCTAAGGGGTCTATGGTAATTTTTATGATTGACCATATCTGTGTTTCCTTTAATTTCTGTTTCTAATATTTGTTATAGTATAGCAGAAATATGCGGCATCCGTGGCTTAGGCGTTGCGAGTCCCACTCGTAATTCCAACGTACCACGATCGAAACCCATTTTGGCTGCATGGATTTTTATCATGGTACAGGGCGATACAGGTCTACCCAGCCTAAAGTGAGTACCAGGATGTAATGTCCTATGGAAGTATAGACGGACGGCGTAATGCTGACCACATTACCCACCTAGTGCCGATTGGTCTGTAAAAATATGGGTGCTCTTTCCATATGCCCGATGCGTCTAAGGCGTGAAAAGGGGAACTTTACTTAAAACAGAAATATCTTTTCAGATTTATTTCATAAGAAACTTATTATTATGTCGCATGTTTTTCCCAAAACGTTTTCTCTGGGATTTTAATTCTCTGTCCACAAATTGGAGTTTAATATTGTTGTTCCCTTTGTACTGTACACGGCCCTACCTATATGCCAGTCCTGGCAAATGGGTGTGAGTCATGGGCAAGGACTCCCTTTTCTCTTTGTTTTTGTGGGAGAGAGAGTGAGAAAGAAGTATCCCACCTGCTGCAACCCGTGATCAAATTATTTAGCAGCGGTTCCACCCAGTGCTCCATGTTGCCCTGAAAGCTTCACATACACCTCCTATTTGTTCATTATGTTTATTTACAAAGCTATTGTTAAATCATTCTCCTTTTCAGACCACTACCAACTAGCACATCGGAAAGGGGGGGGGTGGGAGGGGTAAATATTTTATCTTTTGGATGAATTCTAATCAGATGTGAGAAAATTGTGTCAATATCTGCACTGATGGTGCCAAGGAAATGATGGGTCACAATGTTGGAGCCATTGCCAGAAATAAAGATAAGGCAAAGAACTAGCAGTGGCTATTGCCTACTTCACAGCCTTGAGAAAAATGAGCTTATATACTGTCAAATAGTGCTATAAAAATGATAAACTATATAAAATCACCACCTCTTGAAAGCGGGCTGTTCAAACTAATGTGGGGAGACTTAGGAAACAACTATGAGTCCCTCCTCCTACGCACCGAAATAAAGCTGTTTTCTGGGGAAAAAGAGTTCACATGTTTGATTGAATTGTATGCAGAGGTTGCAGCATTTTGATGGACCATAATGCACCATTAGCAATTATTTAAAATGATAAAGATGATGTGCAAACTGGCGTAGTTAGCCGATATTGTTAGCAAAATATATCTATCATTGCTAGATAAAACTTGCCCTAGTTTTCCATGAATGAATGAATCAACAATTGACATGACTGCACTGGAGACACTCACACACAGGTTCTGTTCTGCAGCAGCCAATGAAAAGTCATCATGCAATTTCCATGCAAATGCCAAAGTGTCTTCTTTTAAGAGATAGCATGTATTGGCTGGAGTGCCCAGAAAGGAAGATATTGTTTCCTTCTTATAGATGAAAATAATAGAGTAGTGCACAGTCTTATGGTAGTCTTGACACATTTCCAGACCATGAAATCTGTTGTCTCGATGTAGTTCAGCACAAGTTCCATCCCAACCTGATTCTTGATATTGTAAAAAAAAATTTTAATCCTTTATTAAGCTATCACAACCTAAACTTGTCAATTTTTTGAATATCATTGATGGCTACATTTCTAAACTGTAAGAAGATATATGTGCTTTAACGTTACATATACAAACTTACTCATGACTCTCTTATTCAAGGAAATTAAATGTATGACATTCTCACAGAAATAAATTATTGAAAGAATATTGTTTTCCCTTATGATTTCATGATTAACCTGTCACATTATTTCTTATAACCTGTTTCTGCCAGTTGGGTAATGACCATCCATGCATAGTTTCAGTTTTTTTTAAAAAAAAGGCTGTTTTATAATTGGTTACACTCCTGTATATTTCAGCATCTCACAGCCTACTAGAAAAGCTGGAATGTATACAAAATGAAGCTGTGCCCGTCATTCTAAGCTGCACAAGGGATACATCGTGATACAACAACTGTGCAGGCAGCACATCTTGCCTTGTAGTCTATGAAAGAGAGTGTTGGAGACAGAAATGTGCCTGACAAGTCGCAAAGAACACCTTTTACAAGAGGTGTTGGGTGATACTAAGGGACTCAGGCTGAAAAGAGGTGGCTCTTGGATGGCACAGACAGAACGCACAAGATTATATACATGTTGAGAATAGATAACGGTGGTGCCCAGCAAAGCAGCCCTGCATCATCATTATCATCTGGTGCCTTGCCAACTGGCGTGGGCGATCATGCCTCTCCATAATCTGCGATCTCCTGCAGCATGTATCAGTTCGTGTGCCGACACACCTCCTTGCCATGCAACAAGACTGTCAAGCATCTTCTCTCGTTGTCTTCCTCTATCCCTCCTTCCACAAATCTTTCCAGTAGTCACATGTTCTGTTTTCCCTCTTCTCATAACATGGCCGAAAAATGATGACTGTCTCCTTCTGATGTCTGTGATAAGTTGTCTTCGGGCTTCCGCCTCTTTCAAAACCTCTTGGTTGCTCTTTTTAGCCGTCCAAGGTATTCTAAGCATTCTTCTGTAAAATCACATCTCTGAGGCCTCTAAAAATTGTTTGGCCTGCCTGCCAATTGTCCAGGATTCACAGCCATATGTTAAAACTGGATGTATGTAGCAAGCAACAATTCTGTTTCTAACTCTCAATGACAAGGATATATTGCACAAGATGTTTTTCATTTTATTAAATGCAGTTTTTGTCTGTCCAATTCTGTTTCTTATTTCAGTTATGCATCTTAAATCTGTTGTTATCCATGTGCTCAGATACTTAAATGTCTGTACTTGTCCTAAAAAAATACCATTTTATTACACATTTGGAATAATTTGTTTCTTTGATACCACCAATACTTCTGTCTTCCCATTATTCAAACTGAGGCCCATTCTTCCACTTTCTAACACCACAATGCCTATCATTTCCTGTAATTCTTTCTGACTTATTGCTATCAAGACTGTGTCATCAGCATAACGTAAACTGTT